GTAGAAAAAACATGATAGATGTTTACTTTTCTTGTAAAGGGTGTGGATGCACACTTCTTTGGAATTTATTTTTTCTTTTGGGGTTATTTGTATAATTACTTAAAGTAATTATTTTTGTCTTGATGACCATTTTACAATTAAGTTTGCAAGATATTTAGGGGAGGGACCTTTATGCAAATATTTTTAGGCCACTTTGGGATTTTGACATTAAAAAAGGGTTTTTGTGTAATTGTCAAAAGTTGTGTGTGTTGACCATGATATAGGATCACATAGTGAATGGAGGATTTCTATTTCCTTCACTCACACTTTATCTCATTGTATCACTTTCTTCCTCACCACAAACCCTAGCCACCATTGGAGAAGTTTAAAGCCTTAAGTTTTTACTTTGATTTTTGAGGCCCTTCCACTCACCTTAGACCATAAAAGTTTGGAATATTTTTTGTTCCGCTCATCCTCCTCTACATAGCCCTTGACGGGTTTGCCATTTTGTGTTGATTTTCTTTGGATTCAAGAGGAACAATCCTCTTGTGAGGTAGGGGGTGTTATAGTTTATTTTATAAGTGGTTTTATTTGCTTTTGTAGTGAAATACAAGTTGTATGCATGTTTTATATTAATTTGAGAAATTAATGATTAATTATAGCTTACTTGTAACTCACTTTAGACTTGGTATATGGCATGACCTTGACTTGATCTTTGTTATATAATTATTTGAAACTATTTAAATGAGTTTTCAAATATAGAGATTTAATGAATTTAAATTGATTTAAATTCTACTTAATGGTACATTGCTTGTATTCCATTTTTGACTTGATAAATGACATGGCCATGACTTAATCCTTATTTTTTATTAATTTGGGATCATTTGAACAACTTTTGAAAATTTGAGATTTAATTAATTTAAATTAATTAAATTCTACATGATGATGTCTTGCTCATTTTGCTCTTTTGATTTGATATGTGTAATGAGCATTCTATGTTGTTTAACATATATCAATTTGAGGTTATTTGAAATTGATTTGAAATCTAGAGAATTTAATTATTTTTGTTTAATTAAATTCTATCTAATGGCTCCATGGATCTCATTGTGTTCTAGAAGTTATTACTATGTTTAAATCATGGACTTGAATTTGTTGTATACTGACTTGGTTACGCTTTGAGTATTGGATAACATTGTTGTTATATTTATATTCATAAGAACATGTTTTCTTTATGGAATATATTGTTATCTTGTGTAATGAGTTGCACACTTTGTTTTCGACATTTTTCATGCCATAACAGTTGTGGACTTAGAGCATATATTGTATGTGTTTCTAAATTTGGTTGTGCATGGTAGATAATTGATTATCTTGTATATATATATTGATATATACGTTGTTACACAACTTGTTGATTTTAGAAACTTGGGAATGTCGTTATTTGGCTACGGCTAGGACATGGTTCTAGTACGGGGGAATATCCTCCTATAGTCTAGTGCGCACATAGGGCGGTTACCCGTGGGCTAGTAACCCTAAAGTAACTATGGTGTCGGTCTGATCCGGAGTGATGTCCAAGTATCCACCTTGTTTGATTTCGCATTTCAATTCCAAGTTGATGACTAGATGATGTTGTAACTTATTGTTTCTTATTTGATTTCCTATTTTAAGTTTTAAAATGTTAACTTTGAGAATTTGTGCTTTATGCGTTATATTGGAAGTTCCAATATTGGTTAAATTGCATCGATATTGTGATTGTGTTTTAAATGTTCAAATGTAGCTTAGGAATGATCCTATAGATTAATTTGAAACATAGACGTTAGGTGGCATGACTCACTTTAGTTGTTTTCGTATTTTAGATTTCAAGTTGATGGCTTTGAGAATCTATATCTTGTTGCCTCATATAACATGCTTCCATGTTGTTAAATTGCATAAATGATGTGACTTTTACTAGAACTGAGCTATGGTAGCTTAGGATGATCCCTGAGTCTCACTTTGACATAGACGTTAGGTGGCATGATCCTTTTGAATTGTTTCATGTTAATGTAAAAATCTATAAAAAAAATTGAGTCTATGCATGCTCATTCCCTACGAGTAACTTGTTTACTCACCCCAAAGTTATCGGGTGATTTGTCAGGTACGGATACCTTGGTTTGGGATGCACAATATCCGTAGATCGTTTCGATGAATTGAAGTTCTTTAAGTGTATTCTTGTTTATGATTCATGCAAATGTTAGCATGAAATGATATTTGTAGCTCATATGTCAAAACTTGTATATTTGATTTCATATATGTAATGTGTACGTAAGTACACCTTTTGTAATGTATTTGATATATATGAGATGAGGCTGGAGGCCAATGACAATAATTTTGTATCATATGTAAATTTTTGACTTCATGTAATATTATGAAAATATTGAAAAATGTTGAGTTATTATTTCACCATGGTTGTATCGGGTGTGGGAATTCCATTTTTATTCTTTCATAGGGTCTCATTAATCATGTATGAAGTGTGGCCAAGGGCTAAACGGTCATTTGACTCCATTTTATATTTTTAAATTCCATGTTTTCCATTTCAAGTGCATTTTTGCCTTTTTGGCCGTTGGGGGGTCAGATTTTGCATTGGTGGTATTTTTAAGCCATGGACCATTAGAGCACGTCCTAATAGGTAAGTTACGTTTGTGTGCATGATCGTTTTCAATAAAAACCTTATCATTGGTGATTTGAGCTTCCTATAGTCTCATTTTGCATTTTTTATGCATAATCTGGTTTAAGGGCATTTTGGGGTTTTCTTTCGGGAAATGATTTCCGTTCTTGACATGGTCACTTAAAAAACATGATTTTAGGGGGGGTTTATTCTTTGTGTTTTTTTAGAAAATATCATCTTGGTACCGTAAATTGCTCGCGAAGTTCAACTTTCACTTTTGCATTTTAGCAACTTTTTGACCCTCTTAACCTGATTTCATGGAGGGGCATTTTGGGCATTTCACAGTGAGTTTTTTTTTTCATTTCCTTTTATGTTATCGAGTAGAGAACTCAATTGGGGGGGGGGGGGGGATGGAAATCTGGCCCTCAAAAACCCATTTCCACCCCCCCCTTCCCAAAAAAACCCTTTTTGTCAGTTTTTTACTGACCTGTAGTTCAAATGTGCGAGTAGTAAAAGCCTCATAACCGGTTAGATGAACTTGGGCAGTGTAGTGGTCATCATTTTTGGCCTCCTAACCGGTTAGGACGGTTTGGTAACCGGTTAGATGGTCTTGGGTTGACTCCTTTTGACCTTTTTGCCATTTTTTCTTCCGTCAGTCATATCTCCTTCGTCTGGATTCCAAATTGAGTGAACTTTTTTTTTAACTTGACTAATTTTTTGTCATCTATCCAACGGTATGCTCGGTTGCACACAGATATTTATGGATAATTACCAGTTTACCCTTTTAGCCTTAAGTACTCATTTTTCTTCGTCTTGTCGTTTCTCCTTCGTCCGGATTCTCAATCATGCGATTCTTGAGTCTATCTTGATTAATTTTTTATTGTCTTTCCAATGGGGTGCCCAGTAGCACCCACTTTCACCTTGGAAATGACCATTTTACCCCTAAGTTTATTCTTGTCCGTTTTTGAAATGTCGCTTCCGCAATTGTTTTCTTTGGGTTTCGTGATCTCATTGAGGGTCACATTGGTGTCTTAGAGACGTGTTGTATCTCTTGAGACCGTTGTTTTATCTTTTACTTCCACATTTCAGATCCGTTACTGAGTCAACTTTCGGGTATCACTGACGCACTAGATTGAATAAAAACTCAGGTTATTACATAAGTCGGCTACTTCATCCGTAAAAATGCTAACTTAAAGACATTTAATTTAAACAACGAAAACAATTATTAACCTATTATTCAATTAACAAATAAAGAAATAACGCACATAACTTATACGCTGCCACATAAGCATAACATTAATGAAAACAAATAATTAAAACAAATAATCTCAATTAAATAAAACAATTAATTAAAACAAATAACTCAATTAAATAAAATGATTAACAAAAAATTTAATTGAATAAAAACAATTAACAAATAGGCAAATTAACAAATAATCTAAGACAAATGCACTAAACAATACTTAAAATGCCGAGAATATCCTTTTAAAATTAAGGGTATTACACCTTATATTTTACTTTTACGCTATTTTACATTATGCTTAAAAATGAGAAAAATAGAAAAATACAAAATTTAAGCATGTCCATTTCATTTTGGTTGGTGGGAATTGTGTTTTATCATTTCCCTTAGTGCTCTTTTATTATATGTGACATGTGGCCAATGGCCAAACAGTTCTTTGAATGCATCTATGATGATTGACTTCTTAATTTGCATAAAAGGCCATTTTTCATATTTTTGGGGTTTGGACATGTCATATGGTGTATTTTGAGGTTATGAACCATTGGGACGCATTTTATTATGTATATTATGTTTGCGAGAATGTTTTCTTTGCACAAAATGTCAAGGTTGCATGTTAGGATTAATGGTAGGTTTCAAACTTTTCATTTTTTTATGCATTTTTGAGGTTTAAGGGATCAAATTTTGCATTGGGTATATTTGGGGGTCACGGACCATTCCTGTATGTTTTAAAATATTTATTACGTTTACGTGCACAATCATTTTAGTCCACAACTTTATATTTGGTCATTTGAACACTTGAAGCAAACTTGCATTTTAACATTTTTCTGCAAAACTAATCCCAGGGGTATGTTGGGGATTTTAGTTCAAAAATAATTTTTTATTTCGATATGGTAAGCTTGAAAAAATTATTTTAAGAGGAATTTTTTTTTCGTATTTTTCTAAAAAAAAGTTGTTTCGGGGTTCAAAAAGCACAATGTTTTCAGATTTTTTTAAAAAATGTGCCCAGCTTCAGCTTCAGAAAGTATAATTACAGTTTGGTCCAACAAAAATATTCCAACGGCCATAAATAAGAAAACCGAGTCTTAAAACAAAGACTTAAACCAGCTATCCAGCCTAAACAAACAACCAGCCAAAGCCCATATAGGAAGAGCCCAATTTCAGGAAACAGCCAGCCGAAGCCCATATAGCAAGAGCCCAATCTCAAATATTGAGCAACAAAAAAGTTTTTCACCTGGTCTGGAGGTGGCGTTGGGAGAGGGGTTGATTGCCAGATTAGATGAGCCCACGGAGTTAGGTGAATCAAGGTGTGTTTGAGTGCAGACCAGGTGTTTGATTAAATGCGTGATTGTGGGATCCTCCAGTGGTTCCCATCTAAGCATGAATTAAGACCCACTAAACCCAATCCACCCACATTTTGCTGTGATACTCACATTTTGCTGATCCATATTGTACAACAGTTTTTGAAACTTCTGAAAAATGAATATTCTTCTGCAGTTGAAATCAGAAAATCTCTGCATTCCAGGCTGGGATTACCTCTTGATCATCCTCTCCTAAGGATTGCCAATGCCATTACTTTATCTATAACCAACGATAGCGCAAGAAGCAATTCCACGCGAAAGGTAACCATTCAATTTCATATAGGCTACATTTTGCATAATCAGTGGTCGTTTGTGCACTAAAGCTGTTGTTGACATATACAGATTTCCCTTTGCTTAATGATGTACATCTTGGAATTCCAAGCAGTGGAGGTTAGTGGTGGCTGTTGGCCTTTTAATTTTTCCTTTTCTTTTCCTGATTTCTCTTAGTTTCACTTGCACTGAAAATCGTGATGCATTGTACAGTTTCTGGGGCTAGTTTCCCTTATTCAATGTTCTTTACCTTCTACATGGATTTGATGACTCAGTGAGAGAGTTTCTCCTCTCAAGTTTTTTTTTTTTTTATTTTTTTTTATTTTTTATAATTAGGAAAGGGCTTAACCCTCTAGACAAGCATCAAGGGGCACTCCCCAGCTATACAAAAAAATCCAGAAATTCCAAGCCCACCAGTGTTGTAACGAAAAAACAATAGCACCCATGAGCATCTACATGTCTACAGTAAACGAGAATATCAACAAAAGCCTTGGTACTATGAACAAAACAGTAGCCACACCCCTCAAACCACAAAAAATAATCCGAAATATCACAAGCAACTGGGGCAAATAAAACAGGTATTAAAGAAGAGCAGAGCAAAATGATGAAACTCCATTTTAGTTTTATGTTATGCCATCTTAAAAAAGAGTTAGTTTTTGGCTTTTGATTTTAAAATCATCGGTTTACGATGACTATTTGTCTATATGGTATATTTTATAAATTAAGTTTCATTAGAATCTTTCCTGAGTCATATGATTTTATTGTCTATCGTAGAAATTCCTCCAAATGCCACTCTCAGTTCATGCTTAGCTTTTTATACAGTTTTTCATCACAGTAAACGATCAAGGCGTCAAGTACTTCACCTTCAGTTGGCTTTTAAGCCTTACATAAGTATATGGAAGTCTTTCTCTGTAACCTTCAGGCTTTCATGTTTCATAGGGATCCTATTGTTGGAGTAAATTTTATTATCGTGGAGATTCAAACTCAGCTTGCTTTCGTACGGTAGTTGTTCATTTTTTTGCTGGTTCCAGTAAACAAGGGATTCGTGAAATTTTCAGTTCCTTCTACAAAATTCTACACACTTTCGGATGGAGAATGCTGTTAGAAAAAGAGATGCTCCACTTTTATTTGGTCAGATAAAAGCTAAGCCTATTGGGTTTTACCAGCATTCTGTCCAATGCAAATTTACTGTTGCTGGTTAGGCAAAGTAAGGTTCAAGGCTTATGTAGAATTTCGCAATTTCTTCATGGAATCCATCTTTTGTTTCAGATAAATTTGATCGGACTTTCCTAGATTGGCTTGAATTTATTGTTGGCTGACTGGGAAATGGATATCTGACTTGGGGGATCTTTATGTTCCAAAATTTTAAAGGGCCCTTTTATCTGCTGATTATTTATTTATTTATTGTTATATATTATTATTTTGAAATGCGGTTATCCCTAGTGGCTTAATTCCTGCTTTGGCATGTATTTATTTTTTTGTTTGTTTGCTTTTAAAGGCTTTTTTGTGTTCTTTGCTGTATCTGCTCTTCTTTTCTTTTCTTTTTCTATATTTTTTTCCCCCTATATATGAGAAACACTGTGTATCTCATACATTCGCTTTGTCCCAATTAGGACTTGGACCTGTGACCTCTTGAGAATTGGAAGTGGAGGAGATACGGCTAAGCTATTGCTTGGTGGTTATATCTGCTTTACTTTTCAATAATATTTCTTTGTTTTTATTAATTTAAATATATTTTACTTAATGCATGATGTGTAAGGTATTATTGGATTGTATTAACTATGTTTTTTTAAAATCAACGTATGCTATTGCAATCAAATGCCCTTGCAGTTGTACTCAGTCGGTTATTTGTATTTCACTTGCTATTGCTGGGGTTGTGCTTACCGCTCTATGCAAACTATCATTTTATGGTTTAGACTCCAATATTACACATCCATAGAGGTTCCTTCACATAGGTACTGACTATCACCATTAACACATGATAAATGCCATGACCTTTATGTTTTGGTTTCTTTTTGGAAGTAAAACTACTTTATCTTGAACCTTCTTGTTTAAACTTTTGAGCTTTACATAAGCAACTGCATTTGCAGTTACATTGTGATGGCCATAGTATTTGACGTTGTGCTTTCCAACTGCTAACGTTATACTTGCAGAGTGCTTTTAATCGGGGAAGTACAGCAATAGCTGGTAGAGATTGGCAATAAGGACCCTTCACTAATAGGATCACGCGAATGGATCCGTGTCATTGCATTAAAACTTTGTTTTAGACAAACTTCTAGGTAAATATGCTATTCTACTTTAAAAAGTGTCATTCGTAACTCTAATAGCCGATTGCATATGGATTAAAAGTGTGAGATTATTTAGAATAAAGTATTATTTAAAACACCCAAAAAAAAAAACTCTGCTACATAATAAATATGCAAAAAGACACACACTTTTTATAAAGTATATATAAATCCATCTATTTTAAAATTTTATAGCAAATTACCTCCTCAAGTTTGACCAAATGTTTTTATAAAAATCCCAAATACTTTTAAGGGAATTTTAGGTATTTCTTTTTTTCTAATAAATAAAAATTTTGGGTTTCTTTAATAATTATTTTTAAAATGCCCTTGTTTTATTATTTATTGTTATTATTTTTGTGTTAGGGCATATTAGGTATTTCATTATTCAAATTAAAGAATTGTCCTTATTTGTTCAATTTGAAAAATGTCACTATATAAATCTTCCTTTTGATTTCTCCTGACCCTATAGGTTTTCGCCTAGCCTTGCCCCTAATGGGGCAAATTTTGGTAGCCTCCTAAATGGGTTTGTGACATGTAAGGTAAAATAATTGAAAATTCAAAGCGGGGGCGGGGGCAAATTTAGTCATGAATTGATCCCGATCACGCTCTGATTATATATGTACTTTTAATATATATATATATATATATATATATATATATATATATATATATATATATATATATATATTTTACTTACTTTGTTCGAAGTGTTCGTTAAAATAGTAATATTCACTACTACTTAGTAATTTAAAAATTGGTTTAGCTTATTTATCAACCCAATTTGAGTACATTAAGTATTTATTTATTTTTTTTAACCACATATTGAAAATGACATAACCCGCCTCACAATTAAAAAGAGTGTGCAGGGTGAAGTCGATACTTTATCAATCGGAGTAGAGACTCAGATGGTATACCAATTACAAACCTGTTCCGAAATAGGGATATAGTTGATATGACGGATTTTCTAACGGGTGAAGTAGAATTTAGTCAACTCCGCCCCTTTAAAATTTATATATATTTACTTTGCTCGAAGCTTAATATATTAATATTTACTACCATTTAATAATTTAAAAGTTGGGATTTTTTTTAACCACATAATAAAAATGCCATAACCTGCCTCGCAATTAAACAGAATATGCGGAATAAAATCGATACTTTGTCTATCAGAATAAAAACAGGGATGGTTTAACAAACCCGTCTCAAAATAGAGATGGTGTTGGTATAACAAATTTTCTAACAGATAAAGTACAATTTAGCCAACCACACCCCTTTGCCATCCCTAACAAAGGATTTATTCGGCTTAGTGATGAACCATTTTGAGCTAACAATGTCCCCATTTTTTGAGCCAAAAATGTCCCTTTGTTTATGTAACTTATATATAGACACACACAAGCATGTGTTTATTTTTTATTTAGTTTATGTAATTTATACATATATATATAATGATATACATGTGTTTATTTTTTAGTACAACCTTATAAATATTAGTATGAATAAATATTTATTGTACGATACAGTCGATAGTTTTGTCCTACAGTGTAATGGAGAATGGATGTTTTTCATTTCCAGTGTCTTGTTTATTTTACTCAATATTATATTGGGTATTAAATTTAAGGGATTCAATGTCTTTTCTTACTTCCACCCTATAAAGACAAGACTCCGGGGTTTTAGATTCTTCTGAATGAAAAAGAAATAAAAAAATATAACAATTAACAAAGAAGCCACTAAACGAAAACTGAAAAAAGTAAAAAGTAAAATAATAAAATTCTGATATTGTATTAAAAATAAAATAAATGAAAAATCTCTCTACTTATTTCCCACCCAAGGTTAAACTATCCAACGTATGACACCAAATAAACTTACAAGGGATGGATGTACAAGCCATAGCCATAGCTTATACAAGCAGGATGTATGAGATAACTTATACAAGCATATAATTAAAGAATTACCAAAGCTGCTCTAGCTTATACAAACATATAATTAAATAATTACCAAAGTTGCTCCAGCGGGAAGTTTGGTTCCAAGCTTCTTGGCATGTTTTCTTGCTACCTTTTTCTCTTTGGTCTCCATGAACTCCCATGGAGTTCCTATTAGAAGTGGTTTGCGAGTATCAAAAGTAATCTTCTCAAGATTGATAGCGCTCTTAATTAAATACATTGCAAGTTCAACATCACTTGTAAGCCCAACAAAACCAATTATTTCTACCACCTTAAGGTACTGATGGGGCCGAGATGTAAACATGCTATGTTTTAATTTCCGAGTGCTCTCACACCATTCCAGCTGTAACAAGGAGGAATGAAGTCAAATGGTGGGCAAATGATTATTAGCATACAAAATCAAATTACCAAGTATCAAATCATAATTGTTAAAAATTAAAAACAATTATGCTAATAGCCACCACAAGCTCCAACAAGGCTGTTATACATATGACTGAAGACCATTAGCATAAAAAATCAAATTACTAAGTATCAAATCTAAACCCTAAGTTAGAATCACAACATTGCCAGACTTAATGGAATAACCACCACTGGCGAAATCGATCGCGTTAGACATAAGAAAACACTGCGTTAGAAAGGAATTCACACTGTTCTTGAGAGCAATAAGACTGAATCTAACCGAATAAGATTATATAGACCTCAAGAGGTCCTACTCTGGGAGGAGTTCTAGAACCATCATGAAAATAAAGCAATCTAAGAACATGCAACATATTAAAAGACCATGTATAACTACAAGGCAGTAAAAATTAAACCAACACAGGAACAACAGAATGATAAACATTCAGTTATAAAATACTTGAACAAGAGAATAGAGCATGCTAAGCTAAACACTTGTAAGAGCATTTTTCCTATTACTGGTTGAAATTTTGTAATAGCTATAAAGAAGCAATTAATTGGAAAATTGAAAGCTTTTAAGTTGAAGTCCAAATGAATCAAAATTTCCATTTGAATATTCAATCACGAAAGCAATAAACCTCACAGATCAGAAATGCAGGTTGTGAAGTAAAAGTTATTACCTGGAACACAAATTTAGACAAGAAAGGACATGCCTCTATGAGGGGAGCAAAAGCAAGAAAGTCTATACCATCAATTGAGCCAATTTTCAAATCCAGCCGCTTGAGTTTATTTAATACAGGAAATTTAGCATCTTCAAGATTATTCTACATAAACCAAAGAAAAAGTAAATCAGTACAGCTAAGCAAAAAGTAAAAACAATAAAATAAAAACGAAGGGGAAGAAATCAAATGAATCAGTTAAACTTCCTAACCTCCATAAAGCTTGGCATCTGCAATGCAAGGCTTTCTAACTGAGAAAGATAGCTTGAAATCTCTAAAAACTTGTATATTAGAAAATCACAATATTCACCCCCGATAAACAAATCAATAGGTGGTTGGACATTCTTAAATGGCAGGTTTATTTTTGGCCCGTGGTACCTAAATGACATGAGATTCATAGCAAAAATCTCAATACTTTTCACATTGAAGCATTTAATTATCTCCAAACGCTTCAATTTGAGTGATTGATCAGGAACTTTCAGATTTACAAGACTATCGGATTTTTTCACAAACAATTGTTCCAATAATGGACAGTTAGTTAAGACGTACTCGAGAATTTGTCCATTTACATTGACGCCTGTCAGCAGGAGATTGGTCAAGAAGTTGCATCTAGTAAACCCAAGAGACAATGAATGTAGGTGATTTGTAATACCGTATGGGTCAGGAAAATTGTATTTCTTCTCTTCCTCTCTACTACCTGCGACACCTTCGGACAAGTCTAACTCAAGCCTTCTAACTCTCTTTTCCATTGCAAAATTAATCCAATTGTCAATATCAAGTCTACAAGTTTCATCAAGATCAAATTGAACTCTGAATTCATCTATAGTTGGCGCGTTGTGCAATTTCAAGACTTGATCAACCCAACTCAAATACAATGGCCTTTCTACTTCAACTTTCTTTTCTCTGAGTTTAATTCCATATATTACAAGTAAGGAATCAAAGTTCAAACCAGTTATGTAAGTCCACGTGTATCTCCATCTCTTTGATAGCAGACTTGTTCTTCCAGCTTCTTTCATTGTCAATAGTGACAAGATTGAAACGAGTATAACATCATGAAGTCTACTAATGCGATCATCCATACACAACCCTCCTTTATCATCCTTCTCACTATTCCAATTAAAGATTAAAAATTAATATTAATAATAATAGTATTAAAAAAATAAAATAAATAAATAAAAACTATGAGAAAATATAAAAGAGGCATAGAAATCCATACATAAGTTAAAAAAAAAGATGATACCTTGCGTATTGAGCACAACATATTGAGGTGGTTTTCTCCATGGGACTTGAACTTACATTTTTCTGCATAATTTCACAAATAAAATCTGCAGAATAGCCGCAGGAGGAGAAGATGAACTGATTAGAGATATAAAACCCAAGCAACAGAGAAAAAGAGAGCAAATTTTTTTTTTTTTTTTTTTTTTTCTGTAAACAAACAAGACCAATTTTTGCGATTGAGAGGAAAAGAGAACAATTTTACA